AATCCAATTTATTAGTTATATAAATATTTTATTACTTCAAAACATATTTTGCGATAAGACTTACTATAAATGTTTAGATTAGAAATAATTCTTAAGTTAAACTCTCAAAACACACATGAATTTGGATAAAACATACAAATCCTGTTGTCTTTATGAAGTCCAAAGATTTGTAACTGTCTTTCACTGCAAGGCATATAACTGTTGTAAAGTAGCCTTTTGGTTGAAGTTTTACCACAGTTTTACCAAGTTCCTTTTACCATATTTGTCATACTTGGACACAACAATACATTTAAACATTGAGGAATCCATTTGTTTTGGTATACAAAGTATTACCATGTGAAGTTTAAGATTTCTCAACAAATAATTAAACATGAAATAAATTGTTTGTTTGGTACACTGTTAGATTTTTTTTGGAAACTAATAACTTATTAGTAAAAATGTTATAACTATTTGAGAGCAAAGAAAAAGTGTAATGATTTGATGTAACAGTATTATCGAGACTCAATCACAGACTAGACAAACTTATGAGAGAGAGAGAGAGAGAGAGTTTTAGAAGAAAAAAGTTTTACTTGAAAAATATAAGAAAAACAGTTATAATGACTAAATAGATAACATAAATATGTAATGACAAACATATGCGACAAAAAGTTGTTCAAATTTTTACTTTTTAAAAAATATTGCTTTTTGACTTATAAAAGGCAAACTGAGTTGAAAGTTGTACTCAAAGCACTGTTTTATTACTTGAAATATTTAGCAAAGTTTTCCACAGAATGCGTGAACATATATAACAGATATTTGTTTCTCATAAATGATTCTAAAATTAAAACATTGAAAAACAAAAACATAAAACAGTGTTGTATGCGCTTAACAAACACTCATTTAGATATTTGATTAATATTTGCTCAAAATTATGGCTCTTAATTCATCATAAAATTAGTAAAAGTCATTTATTATTTAAGCAAACTATAGTTTTCAAGTTTTTAAGACCTATTGAATATAAATTGACAAATCAGTGAATGTTAAATAAAAACATGTTCATCATTATTAATCATTTTCTATCAGATATATTATGATTGACAGCGGGAGCTAACTGTGGCTTTAAGTAACTGTTTTAATAGCCAACCATTATTTCTGCCAAACATTTTGTACTTTGTTTTTGTGTCTAATATATAAAGCAATGCTTAAGTCGTTTGTCGTATTGGTTACAGAAATATCTTCTCCATTATGCGGTTATATATCATGTTTTTTTGTGGTGCAGTTGTTTTATACAGTGATAGTACGGGTGCCATCGGACAAACCACTCACGTCTAAATTGCATTGTTTTGACAAACTTGGGAAATATCTATACATTTGTGTGGAGAGAGTGGGAACAGTAGTGTTTGTGTCGTACGGTTGTGGAGCGGGCAGTAGAATATGATTTGAAATATAAGGAGGGCTCACACTCTAATTGTATGGCCATTGCCTATAAGCTGTTCACCATTACTACTACTACTGTCTCTTTAAAGCCCAGTCTATATTAAGCCCCTGTTGTTCATAATTCAATGGGATTACTGTTTCGCAGACATTAGTTTTGGAGACAAGAATATTATCTGTTCCTTACGTGACCACAACTCCTGTCATACAATACCCAACATTAAGGCCAAACATAAAGTCCAAAACGTGAAGAAAACGGAAAATTTTCCAAATTAACAGATGTGTTGACCACTAAAACATAAATTATCACCACCTCTATCACTATCACTATATCCTGTAAATGTCCGACAATTATAGCTATAATCGAAAGTTTCGTTTAATAAAATATTTTATTAAAAGTGGTTTATATTCTGTTGAATGACATTCAGTGTAATAAACAATGAGTTTTAGTATAAAACAATAATTGACTTCTTTTTCAAGTTTTATTCATTGAATGTATGGCAAAGAGTTTATCAGCGGATGGACTAACGAACCGAACACAAGCCATGTATTCCTTAATTGACTCCAATTTTTCATGTATTACAAGACTATAGCTATAGACTGGAGTGAAGCTGAGTAGAGATATAGTGATGAGTTATATGGTATGTAACTGTGAATTGTGTGATGGAGTAGTGCAGTGATGGTAGTGATGGCAGTGCCCATAGGGCTCATGTCTGTCTTACCGGAAAATAACTTCATTGAGCAATGAATTGCAACAATTGTTCAATAGTTTTGATACGACAAATGTGAGCCCATTATATGATTTGAGTTGTAAAACCATATCATAAAAACCTCAAACCAAAGTGACTAATGATATGAGATATAAAAATGGCTTAATTAGGCGAATCACATGAATGCCGGCGCTATTAGCTCTAAATGAATGGAGTTTGGGCTCAAAACTCGACACTATTTTTGATTACCAACTCATTTGTAGCGAATAATCTCATATTTGTTGGCCGCAGAGAAATCTCACTTTTGTTTCGCTTTTTTCAAACATTTCAAACTCAATTCATTATAATTTTTATTCTTAAAGAATAGTTTAATTAAATTCTCGGCTCTTATACGATATGATGTGATTAATTAAGGGATAGAGTGAGCAATGGGTGGGATATCAATCAGACCATTAGTCGGGGGGTCATCCAAAACACACTATTCTGGTTGCGAGTGGAGTGGGGGCTAAAGGGACAGCTGTTCAGCAAGAGATGCCAAATCCCACAACAAAGCTCTTAATGTTTTTGGCGTTTATCTCACGTATAATTATATTTAATTGAAATTTGATATGTTTTTGGAATTTACTCTTTTAATGAGTGAATGCATTAAAAAGAAAATGATTATAAAATTGGACCGGATGAATACTGTGGGATTACTAAGTTTGGTTTAACTGTATGAACACTTCAAATAAAGTACATGATAGTTGTGCAGATTTTTGATGATCCTAGCAATAATGGACTACACTGTAGTTATGGCCTGTACTACAGACTCTGTATTATAATTTATAAAACCAGATGATATGCTTTTAATTTCTCAATATCTTATTCATATCTTTATTGAAATAAAGTGATCATTCATTCGTACAAATAACTGAGAAAATTGAAACGATAAGAAGTTTTCAGAATTTTCGAGAATATATAAAAAAATTTATAGTAATTCTTGTCAAGAGCTCTACAATTTATGTTTTAACACAATTCAGATATTTTTAACTTGAATTCTTGTAGTTTATTCTTTGTTTTTAGAATATATTCTTTTATTTAAAGTGTAAAAAGAGAGAATTTTTTATTAAATTTTACTTATTTTATAATAAAAAGGGTTAGATTTGAGGAGAAAAATGCATAAAAATACATTGCAATACATTGTGCAGATGTTTTCTCAATCGTTGTGTGTCTGGCAGTGCTGTGGACTCAAGTGTTTGTCTATTTTTACACATATTTTCTGGAATATAAGCTTCTATTTGAATCTCATATCATATTATCCCTACTTTTTGACCGATATATCATTAAATCATCACTTATTTTGTACCATTGATTTTAAACTTACAGTACAGCTTTCAAACCTTAGTATAGTATTTGTTAAGAATTTTAAAAGCATAAGTCTTAAGGAGTCTAAGTCTATCTGTAATTTAATATCAATACATACTTATAAACTTCACTTAACATTCAAATAATTAAAAATCATGTAATATTATACAGAAATTATATGTATTTACGTTTTTCCATAATGTCACAATGTGAAATACAAACTTGTAGTTGACTGAAATTCCGTCTATAAACATTTTGGCATAAAATTAATGCAAAAATAAGTTTTTTAAAAACATCAAATTGTTTGGTTTGCAATCAATTAGTTAGAAAAGGATGACAAATTCGTACAAAATTAGTATTTTCACTTTTTGATGTTTGAGTATTGAAAGGGTAAATAATGAACATGGTTATATAAGTAGTGTTGATGAAAGAGTCTGAACCATTGAATCGAGTTTTGTCTGAATTCTCAAAAACACTACAGAATTATGTTCAACCGTTTTGGTTGTATAATGACTTCATTGTTTTGCTATTATAAACATGTGGTGCTAAACAAGAATAAGACTATAATCTGTAGAATATCCATATCTCATGAGCGGACACCCGATCGCACCGTCATATTCACCAAATACACCAGTGATTTATGTTTGAAATAATTGTGAACAAAATGCTTAACTTTTAAACAATATTGTATTGCCGTTTTATTTTCCGTAATATTCTTAGTATAATACATAAAAATTATTTAACAACAAACCAATAATAACAGAATATTTATGTCCGACTCTATTGTCAATATTACAGCAATAATTTAGTTTTGATAAACAGTAACTTTAATGTTATATAATATAATTGTGAATTTATATAAACCCAGAACTGGACCAGTAACTAAAAAGTTGATTTTAAAAATATCACCAAAACATTGATCAATGACTCGGAAATTTGTAATCTAAGCATATTTTTCATATATTCTTTTATATATTGTTTTAATATTTGATAAAAAGATTTAAAATTTAAATAATTCATTAAAAATAATTTAACAAAAAACAAAAGTAATAATTAATGTGTTGAATAATAAGTTGATGCACTGTATTGTATAAGACTATTATAGAGTATGATAAAAGTTATGAGAGATTTATGAGAGGAAAATAAGTTTTACATTTAAATTTCATAAAATTATATTAATATCAATATATTGTTTTGACTCACATTTACGTTTTTGGATAATTATTTGTGTTTCTCTATCGATATTTTCACAACATAAAGTATATTTTCAAAAATCTTTGGCCTAAACATTGTTTATAGACTTATTAAGCGAGTTTTGAACGAGTTATCAGGGACACTATTGAATTTAGTTACAAAAAACGAGAATACGTTCAAAAGCTACTCAAATGTAAAGTTTGAATATCTGTGAAGATAATCGACAAATAAAGTAGAGATTGATATCTAGTATTTGATTAGTTGTGTGTTTGGTGTGCGGGCTGTCAGTCACAGGTAGAACTCAGGCGATGAGGGGGTACTGCCGGCTGACACGCTCGACAGAGAGCCGGCTGAGCACTCGGGGTGTCGAGTGTTGCGAGCGTTGGCCTGAGTGGGGGTCGTATTAGCGGCCGCTCCGGTCACCACAATCTGCTGACTCTGAGTGGTTTGTGTGACACTAATACCTGTCTGTTGTTTGAGTGCGAGCTGTTGGCGATAAAAGTCCCTTTCCTGACACACCTTATCGTAAGCCTGTCGAAGTTTGTCAAAGTTGAGCCTCATTTTGTCGGTCTCGACCCTCAACTTCTCGCACTCGTACCGATTCCTTCCCAATTCGTTTTGCTGTATTCGCAGCTTTGCCTCCAATTCGTGTCTCTGTGCCAACCGTTTGGTCCGACAGTTCTGAGCGTATCCGCGGTTCTTAAGGGTTCGCCTCTTTTGCTTCATTTTCACCACATCTTCGCGCGGAAAGCCGTGAAGTTTTTTGTTAAGCTCTCGAACCGTCAGATTAATGAGTTGTTCATCATTTAGATTATCATTTTTAGAGCCGCTGTTTGTGTAGACGCTGTTGCAGTCACTGCTGTTGTGGTTGTGTTGACCGCTAATGCCGTGACTATGAAATGAGTGATGGATTTGCGAATTAGAGTGATGTGAGTGTCCGTTATGTAACTGATTGTGATGACTGTGTTGGGGGTGTTGTGTCGGGTGCATGTCTATTGAGTTATTCACTAGATTTGGGTTAACCATAGTTTGCATGAGTCGACTGTGCATTACAGGAGATACTGGATTGACGTGAGAATTGCTGTGATTTGTCTGCATCTCCACGTATTCGCGCCTCATATTAGGCGAGAGCCACGGGTTCTCTATCTCTTGACCGCATTGACCTCTGAGGTCAAGTGGTCCCTCTTGGCTGCCAATCACTCCATTGGTTCCATATCTGAGTTGTGCGGTGAGCCAGGACATATTCATGCCATTGCTGTCATCTATAATGCTATTATGCTTATTGCACGGATCGATGGCCGCCTGTGCGATCACAGGACTGGTCATATTGCCTGCAAAGGCAGGTGAGGGCGACAATGAGTTTCCGGTTCCCGACGGAGAACTAGTGTTAGGAGGAGTGCCGGGAGTATTGGCGGCCAAAGCTATTTGTTGCTTCCTATGATCGGGAAGTCCTCCGTTGGACATAACGTTGTGAACGAGTCTTAACTGTTGATCGTTTGGACAATTTTGAGATGAATTTATGTGATTATCAGTCATTTGACGGCAGTTGTGGTTACCAGCACTCGCGGCGGCAATTTTGGCGGTTTCTTGTTTGACCACTTCCTCCAAGTGCTCGAGATCTAGACTGGAGAGGTCGTGCACGTAGTCCTCGGTTGACATGGGGCCGGTGTCGGAGTCCATTATGGCCAGGGATGGGTAGATAACACTTAGACTAACACTTTGGCCGACACTTTCACTGCAGGACTGGAGGAACTGCTAAACGCTGTGACTATAACTACAAGTATAGCGCACTTCTGGTGCCTCTCTTGCGATGGTTTACGTTTGAAGTGAATGTTTGGTTCAGTCAATTGTTTTACATATTATGATTGTCTTCAGAGCTCTCACCACAAGTTTGACGACAGTTTTAGTCAAAAGAAATCAACTGCAAAACGAGAGAAAAGTTTTGCATGAAAATAGTTTGGCCTTGAATTGCAATTTAGTTGAGAGCGAAGTGAGGACTCAGTATATAATCAGAGAGGAGTTCGGTCTCAACACAAGTCTTAAGAAGTGAACGAAGAGACTATGGAAGAGGGCTATGGATTAGTCCCTATTATATAAGCGAAAAGGCCTAACATTTCGCACTCAATCTATGAATGTTATCACAAAGTAGTATAAGTTTAGCAAAAAGAGTAAAAACTTTTGGTTTAGTTAATAGAAAAGTGCACTACTTTTTGCTCAGTTCACTAATAGTGTGTTTGCGGCGATGGTTTGCCTCCTCTGCACTCGACTCGACCTAAACCGCAACTAAGACTATAGGGTTTAAGTGTATATCTGATCCTAAACACGGTTTGCACAGGCATTGCATTCAAATACTGTACAACAAATGTATGACTCGCAAATGGTTGTGCATGTCTTGCATATGATTTTTTATCTTTTTAATTATAATTTGATAACTTTTTCATTCTTATTCTTAACGACCGATTCTGTTATTTTATAATATTCTTGTCAATTAGCGGTATATTAATATACAAATTTGTATTTAAGAGTCTTAAATTAAAACTATTTGCAATATAAACACAGAATCCTGTTTAATAATTTTGATAAAATATCTGAATATAAGATATTCTGGATGTATTTAAAGTGACATAAAATTGAGATATTTGAAAGAAATTGTCATTTTTGAATGATTTTAGAGTTAAAATAGCGGCAAAAAGAGTTTACGAATTTTAAAGGGAAAAAAGGATTTCAAAGAATCAAAGGTTTATTGCAATCCCTTAACTGATCCCGTGTTTAGCCGTTACCTACAATAAGCCTCTACGGCCTATGTTTTGAACTTAGGCTTCACTTCAATGAATTGCAGTTTAAATTCAGCAATGGATGGGAAATTTCGTGAATTTAGTCGCTTTTTATTGCAAAATCGAGAGTTTATGACTAATATTATTCAATGACTTGATTTCCAAAAAAAATTGTTTAATATTAAAATCTAAACACTACTAATCACTTCTAGTATAATCTTAAAATAGAAAATCTGTTTTAATGATTATATTTTGTATAAAATTAAAATTTCAATATTAACATTCAGAAATAAAAGATAACTTTTAAAATATTTTTTATGTAATTTTTTCATAAAATGCAAAACCTTTGCAACAAAAAAGTACACAAACTAAAAGACATTTTTAAGATATCAATGAATAACTGTTTAATTAAAGTAATCACTCAAATGTTGCACTTTTATTGAACTCATAGCACAAATCTATTATAAAACGGTTACTTAGAAAGAGTTACTAAAATAATAAACTCTAGATTTATAAGAATAAACTGATATTTACCTCTGCTTTGTCTGTC